AAACGTAATATCTACTATATATATATATATATATATATACCCGCACTTGCGTATATCTGCACAAATATACATAAACCATGCAGCACACACCTCAGATTGTATCCCAGCGTGAGCAGTCGGTGCACAGTATTCCATCTGTACTCCTTCGCCAATGCCATCCACAGCGTATTGATGGTAAGTGTAGCCACGTGGCAGTTCTCCAGTAGCGTCCTAGCGCATGGGCCATCCATGTAGGTAAACGCTGTACCCAACGCCTCACTCACATCGGCAGCAGAGCACATGAGCGCAGCTATTCTTAGAATCCACACCTCTCTCGTGTGGATGGCATGGTTGACAACGAGGATGGGTAGCGGTAGGGGGCATGTGGCCAGCTGTTGACGGCATGCTTCTTTCATGTTGTTCTCCTCAAGAACTCCGTCTATAAATAGCCGAAACGCCTTCTCGGTGTGCACGTCCACTTTGACTACAAACAGTATGTCTGTGAAGTAACTGCTGATCATATGCTTGATAAGAACAATGTCGGCCCTCAACAAGCTCATGCGCTCTCTCTTCATGATGATCAAGGCAACCTCCCAGTGAGCATACTTAACTATGCGCAGCACGCACGCGTCGGACAAGCGTTCCAGGTCTGGAAGTACCTGCATCCTACCAGAGTAGCCTGACATGGTACGCCGTGGTATAACTACTACACCAGCTAATGTCTTTGTTTTACTAAATACAACTGAAGAAGAGCTTGGTAGAGACTGAACAGTCCGATAATGAGCAGAGTCCAGGTATCTCAAGTTTATGGGCGGCCCTTGATTATGTACACCACTACGGTTCAACTGGAAAGCCACAGAGGCACCGCCAAGGCTATGGATCTATACTGTAACTAGGCTAGAATAAACGTCTAAATCTATAACTTCCACAGAAGGCCAGGATGACTTTGTGCATAAGGAAAAGGGGCACTTGTATACTAAAACATATTTCTATTTATGTAAAGAGGTACTTGTATACTTAAATGTACACGGAAAAGGGTATTTATATACTTAAATATACACGACAAGAGGTATTTATATACTCGAAAATATATTGTAACCGTTGACTCGATGTATACACTCCCCCATCTCTGCGTAAGTACAGATTCGTTGCGCGCAGCTGCAACCAATTATTATTATGTATACCAAAAGTCCAAAACTGGGCAGTATAGGTGTCTACGCATATTTTAATACATACATACTCGCATAGCCTATCCCCTCTAAAAAGTAAAAAAGATCTGCGCGCGTCATATCTATTTATTTGCGTACATACTGTACTGTCCAATAGTCCATTGACCAAAGCCCTCTGAAATATAAACACAAATAAATTTGAGGGGGCTATATGCATATTTTTACAAAAAAAGTATTTACAAAAATTAATTCATGTATTTATGTATGTACAGTATAAATTCATGGTCGTACTTACGTGTTGCTGCAGTATCCACACAAATTTAAATGATATTTGTATTTATAAATGTACATCCGTATCAACATACACTACTAACGTGACACTGCACTATAGGACTTCCTGCATGTACTAGTCTGAGGGGAATGTGCAAACAAGGGGTTGACATCTGTCTATAGTCACTCTGCCCACTATTTCATAGCGTGATGCTGTTCAACATCGCTAAATGAGCACGGCATATAGTTCCTTCGCGGATAAATAATCAAACCTGTACGTGGTATTCACACTCAAGTCAACCGGGAATATATATATATATATATATACATATATCTATAAACATATATCTATACATCATGAGTGGGGGAACGGAAGGCAACGAGTTGTCTTTATCTAATTTGCTTGAAGAAGTGCCTGAGTGTCTGCTGCGACTGTGTCGGATGATTGTGTCCGGTTTCTTCACACCTGAGCATCGACTTATCACCGAGCTGCTCATGGTCAAATCGAGTTTAAAAGAAGCCGATTTCACCGACTTGTTGTTGTTACACAAACCTCAGGTATGCGCGTAGACTTAAAATGGGTTAGTACAACTGTGCTTAGACACGTTACTACAGCACAGACCGCCCACTGCTTCCAGGTGCTGGTGGAGTCACGCAACGATTATGCTGTATGATAATTGGGTTCTTCCGTACGGCGAATTATGAACGCACAATACTCTGTCCAATATTAGAGTGTATAGGTATAAAAACAGTGTATGTTAGATTCAGCTTGATTTTCTGCAACTCATTGACTCATACGCAGTGACAAAGAGTTATATATATATATGTGTGTGTGTGTGTGTATGTGTTTATATTTATATATATTTATGTATATATATATATATATGTGTGTGTGTGTGTGTGTGTATGTATGTATGTATGTATATATGTATGTATTTAT